CTCTGCCTCCCTTCTCAACAAGCCCCACCCCTAAAAGAAAGCTCCGCCTCCCCCCTCAACAAGCCCCGCTCCTCCCCTCTCAACAAGCCCCGCCCCCATCAACAAGCCAGGAGATCGATCCTACGTACCATGGCCCGGCACCACAAGCACCGCCAGTCCTGTAGGCGGAGCACACTGCCGCACGTCTTGTCACACACGCTGCACTTGGCGCTCACCGGCAGGTTGCCCTCCATCCACTGGTGTGGCATGGAGATCTGGACACAGACAGATAGAATCAAGATATGTTAGGATGGTGTGGTGCAGTGTAGTGTGGTGTGGTGTGGTGTGGTGTGGTGTGGTGTGGTGCGGCATGGAGATCTGGGCACACAGACACACACATAGATCAAGATGTGTTATGAGATGTGATGGTGTTGTGTGGTGAGGTGTGTGGTGTGGCGTGGTGTGGTGTGGTGTGGTGGGGTGTGGCGTGGTGTGGTGTGGTGTCGTGTGGCGTGGCATGGAGGTCTGGACACAGGCAGACAGGCACACAGAGAGATAGAGCAAGATGACATGAGATGGTGTGGTACGGTATAGGGATAAGAGGGCAGACAGACACACAGATACACGGATAGATCAAGATGTGTTAGGATGGTGAGGTTTGGCGTGGTGTGATGTGGCATGGAGTGGTGAGGCGTTGTCTGGTGTAGTACGGCGTGGAGATCTGGGCACAGGCAGACAGGCACACAGATACACGGAAGATCAAGATGACATGTGATGGTGTGGTGTGGGCACAGACAGACACACGGAGAGATGGATCAAGATATGTTAAGATGGTGATGCGTGGTGCGGCGTGGTGTGGTGTGGTGTGGCATGGAGATCTGGGCACAGGCAGACAGGCACACAGATACACGGATAGATCAAGATGTGTTAGGATGGTGAAGTGTGGTGTGGTGTGGTTGGGTGTGGTGTGATGTGGAGTGGTGTGGTGTGGTGTGGTGTGGTGTGGCGTGGTGTGGTGTGGTGAGGCGTGGTGTGGTGTGGTGAGGCGTGGTGTGGTGTGCTGCGGCATGGAAATCTGGGCACAGGCAGACAGACACACAGACAAATAGATCAAGATGCGTTATGATGGTGTGGTGTATTTTGGTTTAGTGTGGTGTGGTGTACAGACAAACATACGTCATGATGGTGTGGTGCGGCATGGAGATCTGGGCACAGACAGACACACAGATAGGAAAAGATGTGTTATGACAGGTGTACGTCCAGACTCACCCCATCCTCGTCCTCTAAGATGTCCTTCCCTATAGAAGCTAAGGCTGTCCATTTGCAGTTGGTGGGTGCCCGCACCGCACAGCGTTTGTGGGCCTTGAATTTGCACACTGGGGAAAAAAAGGAAGTACTTAGTTTTAGTTTTAGTAAGTGTTTTACGGCACTTGCAACACAATAAAGTCATATCAGTGCCGAAGATTAGAGGGCTTACAAGAGAGTATCAGACACAAAAAAGAAGGAGGGGAGATAAGGACGATAGATGTTTGATAGGAAAGAAGAAGCAAACCACACCAGAGCACCCGCCGACCTGATGATGATGATGATGATGATGATGATGATGATGATGATGATGATGATGATGGTGATGGTGATGGTGATGATGATGATGATGATGATGATGATGATGATGGTGATGATGATGATGATGATGATGATGATGATGATGATGATGATGATGATGATGATGACG